TTTTTTGGGGGGGGGTTTTTGAGACAGGGTCTCACTATGTAGTTGACACTGATCTGGAACTCACTATGTAGCCCAGGCTGGCCTCCAACTCACAGCAATCCTCGTGCCTCAGCCTCCTGAGTGCTGGGATTACAGGCATGCGCCACCATGCCCAGCAAGCCTATTTCTTTTGATTGGTGAATTGATACCATTAAAATTGATGGTTATAACTGATAGGTATTAACTTATCATTGCCATGATATTTTCCTGTTGTTGGCTCCTTTTTAAAAAAAAATTCCCCCCCATCCATTTGATTTCTTACCTTGCTTGATGGCTTTATTCCATTGGGGTTCACAGAGTTGTAATTTCATTTTCTTTTCCTAAGATATTGTTTAGAAATTTTTTGAAGTGCCAGTTTGGTATTCATGAAATTCCTTGGTTGTTCTTTGTTATGGAAGTATCTTATTTCTCCATCAATTTTGAAAGATAATTTTGTAGGATACATCAATCTGGGTTGGAGGTTTTTTTCTTTTAGGGCTTGAAATATTTCACTCCAGGCTCTTCTTGACTTGAGGGTTTGTGTTGAGAAATCTGCTGTGATTTTGATGGGCTTTCCTTTGTATGTGATTTATTTCTTTCTCTAACTGCTTTTAAGATTTTGTTCTTCTGTTGAATTTCTGGAATTTTAATGATTATATACTTAGGCATATAGTTTTTTGGTTTGTTGGAGTTCTACATGGCTCACTTATCTGTATGTCAAATTCTTTCCCCCTGTTTGGGAAGTTTTCTGCCATTACTTCTGTGAACATATTTTTTTATGTATGTCATTTCTGCTATCTCCTGTTTTTTCATTAACTCTGATTAATCTTATGTTGTTCTTTGCATTGTCTAGCAGCTTCTGGATTTATTTCTCATTGTCCCTTGTTATTTTTAAGAAATCTCTGTTTTCTTGGTGTCTAGCTGCAATCCTGTCTTCGATATCTGTTATTCTGTCTTCACATTGGCTCATTCTGCTGTGTATACTTTTAATGGAGTTTTAAATCTCCTGAATATCTGTTTCATGGATTCCATTTCTTTTCTATGCTGGTGTTCATGGTTTCCATCATGTTCCTGAGCTCCTCCATTTTTCTTATCTCTTTCTGTTCTAGAGACATTAAGCATGTCTTTCATTCTGGTCACCCTCTCTGTAGTATCTGGGAAATTATTTCTGCTTTGATTTTTTTCTAGAACCTCATTCACCTACTTTGTTCCCCTGTTATCAGCTCAGGGAGTCCAGGTGGTTGAATTTTGGATTGTTCCACCTCATTGCTCCCTTGTGTTTGCCTTTGCTGAGCTGGAACTCTGGGTTTGTATCTTGTTTAGGTGTCTTCTCACTTTTATTTTTGTTGTTCTTGATATTTTGGTTTAATTCCTGGATTGATACTTTTATATTGCTTATTGTATCTTTATTCCCAGTATCTAGAACCCTTAGGGTATGACTACTTTTCAGAAGTGTCTTCTACATATAGCTGGCCTTTGGATTTTGTGTCTGTAATGACCCTTAGACAATCTCAGTTTTGGTATTCCAGAAATGATAACTGACTAGAACAATCACGTCACCTTGGACAAAGTAATACAATCAGCATCAACAATAGCATCATACACAGCTTAGAAAATGACAGATTGTAGAACTATTAATCTGTTACCTTTAACCACATGAATTAAACATGTTAATATATCAAAATCAAGAATATGTTTGCAGTAAATAAGCCTTTCAATATACCAAATTTAACCCTCCAGAAAGAAGACTTAGGAGGAGTTGGGTGGAAGGGATAGAGAAATAGAAGGAGAGGGAAAGGTTAGAAGGAGGGCTAGAGGGAGGACACAGGAAGATCATGCAAAGTTTGTGAAACTGGTGAAGACAGGAGGAAAAACGAGAAGGAAGTAACAAAAGCAATAATAGAATGAAATAACAGCAGAGGGAAAACTAGAAACTGCATTCATACTCCTATTAGAAAAAGAACAATTAAAAAAACATGAACAAAACAGGACAAAACCTGGAACAAGAATAGAGAGAAATGAAGAAGGAAAGAGAAGAAAAGAAAGAAAAACAGAAAAAGAAAAAATATGTCCCCTTCCATGTGTGTCTCTGCTATTGCTGGTAAACAATGTAGGCAGCAGGGTGCAGATCTGAGTTGATCAATCTCAGTAAGCCAGCCGTAATTCACTGAGATTTAGGCTGGTTTCTGGCTGCAAGGCCAGAGTTGAGCTCCATGACCTCCTGTGGGTTTGAACTCTCCCTGGTTCTGGAGCAGGCCACTGTAAAATGCTGCATCTTTATTATAGTGACACTATTTACTCTCTTGGTGAGCTTCAGTTGTTTCTTTCTTTTTGGTACCAGGGATTAAACTCAGGACCTTGTGAGGCAGTCACGGAGCCACTAAGCTAAATCCCTGGCTAGGGCTTCAGTTCATAACAAGCCTCAGAAAGGCCCAGTCTCTGCTGCTTACCATTCTGCCATCTTCCTGAGCTCAGAATAATGGTCCTTCTGCTCTGCCACTGTCTGGATCTGACCACCACTCTCTTGGGTGGGATGGGTTGCTGCTGAATGCTGCATGTGGGCTAGGATAATGCTGAATAGCACAAGCAGGTGGGCTGTTGCTAAATTGCCTCAAGGGAGGAAATTTAAAAGAGGTTCAGGGAAAAAAATAGAGAAATAGAAAAAGAGGAAGAGATTAGAAACAAAGCTAGAGGACAAAGGAAGAGTACATGGACTTTGGGAACTGGTGAACAAAACAGGAGGCAAGGAAGAAATAAAAGCAAGAAAGGAATGGAACAAAAACAGAAAGAAGCCTCCAGTGTTCACACTAATATTAAAACAAGAACAATCAAGAAAAAAGAAAAGAAAAAAATATGTCCACTTCAGGGTGTGTCTCTGCTGTCACTGGTAGACAGTGGGCAGACAGAGACTAGATTCATGTTGATTCATCCCAGCAAGCCAGCCATGGATTTACGGTGGGGGAATGGATAATCCCAGGAAGCTGCATCTGTAGTTCTACGGAAGTTTAGGACTTTCTTGCTGTGAGGCTGGAACCAGCTTTCTTTATCCTGCAATACCCTGTGTGCCTCCTGCTAGCTTGAGCTAAACTCTTTGAAATCCTGCTGATTTGAACACACCAAATCTCAGATTGTTTCTGTGCTATTCACCACTCCACTATCTTCCTGCCAATTTGCACATGGTCTTTCCAATACTGTTTATGTTTCTGCTGCTGTTATTTTATACAAAGAAAATTTTCCTACTGTCTCTTGGTAATTTTTCTGTAGGTGTCTCTACTAATTTTTCTATATTTTGGCTAGTTACCTGCTTGTCTTTATGGAGATAATTAAATTAACATTTTCAGATTCTGGTTCCTCAAATTTTTTTTCAAACAATGGTTTCCCCTTTCTCTGTATTCTTTTAGGATTTTTGCTATTGCTACTCATTGCTCGGCAGTGAACTATCGATTAGTCTAATGAATAAAAGTCAGGAACACATGCTCCTTTTTTAGTGTTGAGGAAGATAAATTGCAGTGCTCAAACTTAATTCTGAGAACTGGGGTGTAGAAATATCTCAGGGGTTTAGATTTGGGGTAAATATTGTTTTCCCTACTCAGAACTTATTTCAAAACCAAAAATTTCAAAATGATTTTGTATTCACCATTGCACTTTCAGAAGCATGAAGCAATTTTACTCTATTAGTTTGAGATCTTGGCAAGTTCTGGTGCTGGTGTAACTCAAATTTTTGGGTATCTAAAGCCTACCCCCAGGAGTTCCTACCTTTCAAACTTCTCTTGAACTTGTTCATCAGGAAATCCAACATATTCCTACCTTTGCTTTGCTTCTGAGTTTCTTCAGAGTAATTGAACTTCTGTAGGTCGACCTCCTTGTTCTTCCATTTAATATTCAAGGGTTGTTGATTTAAGATAGGCTGCTTTTTGTTATTGAGAAAACATTCTTTGTACGTGTTGCAATGTGCAATCATGCTTGTGCAGAAGATCATTAGCATCCCTTTGAGACAACATTTAAATCAGTCAGGGAACTCAGAGGGGCTGCTTCTTGGGCACAAGAGAAATAGCCAAGAACTGAAAACTCCAGTTTTTTATTTGTAATTCAAAGACATAGAAGAAAAGCATTTCACCACATATTGTATAGGAGTTTTTGTCAGAGGAAAAGACTGAATGAGATGGTTGGCCATGTAGTTGATCTAGTTTAAACAATCTTATTGGGGCAGAGTGAACACATTGCCCAAAGCAAACATCTCTGATAGTAACTTGCTCTTAATTCTGCTGACAGTTATCCTGCAGATTTGGCTGTAAACGTAGTGTTGTTTCAAGGTCCCCTCTTTATTCCACTCAGATTCAATCAGGCCTTTGGCCTGTATCTCTCTACATCTATGTTTTTTCCAACTAAACTAGAAATTAAATTCTTTATAGTCATTCTTTGATTTATAGTGACAATATTTAACCCTCAACATTCATTGCATTTGTGTCCCAATTACAGACAATATGATAAAAAGCATAGGCATTCATAATTTTGCATCTGGCAGTTTAATTAACTTAATTACACCTCTGCTTGTAGGAATGAATTCTCACTTTGAGTTCCCTGTTACCTGGGAAGCCAGGGTTCTTTCTTTCTTCTGTCAAGATATTGGTACGTACATGGTTGAGAGTGCTGCTCTAATATACTTGAATTCTCAAATATATGAGCAATATTTCTTTGCATGTCTTCTTGATTTTCTGTGCTATATTTTCACCAGTGTGAACCTAAAAGCCACCCCCCTTAAGGATAACATAGGATTGTGCAGCATAAGTAGGATGTATACTCATTAACCATTGTGAATATTTGTCTTTTCTCCCTCTGACTTTCTAACATACACTCTTCCTTATGGCCAGCGTGTGTCACTGTCTTGTTTACTATTTATTGAACATTATTAAACATTTTAAACACAAAATAGTTACAGAATTTTGAAAAGCCAAAGGTGTGATTTGGATGTGACAAAAGCTATTGTTAAACTTTTTTTTTCTTTTTGGTACCGGAAATTGAACTTGCAAGGCAGGCCACCGAACCACTGAGCTAAATCCCCGGCCCTTGTTAAACTTTTTTTTGTGACTCAGTTAAAAAAATATTGGTGTTTGTTACATATATGTTTTGCTCATATTATCCATTTCCCAGTGTGTCTCCCATAAGCTACATTTGAAATTTTTTTATCTGTCACAGGTGACCATCTCATGTCTTTGAGCTGTAAGATAGTGCATCTTCCTTAATCTAATTTCATTCTTCTTAGATACTCTCCAATAAACAGTGAAATGTTTTATTAACATTTTAAATTATCATTCATTAGTTTTGCTTGGTGTTCAATTAAGTTTTTGTCTATGAAAGCAAGTTCAAGTACAAAACCTTGTCTAAATACATTCAGAAAAGTTAGAGATCAATTCTAGAAGTATAGAAGTATAGTTGCTAAAAGAGATATTTTCTGTCAGTGCAATTCCTTAGATATTTACTGTAGTCTTCTCATTTGGACACCAATCTTTTAGGCTCCCTGTGTGAACCATGCTTTAGAAACAACATAGAAAGGAGATAAGGTTAACCAGCAGGAGAATTCATGTTTCCATTCTACTATAGCTTTACCAATAAATTCTAACCTAGCATGAAAATTCCTGTGTAAGACATGCATGCATATCAATGTTGAATAAGTGATTGCTCACCAAGACATGAAGTAAACATTTGGAGGACTCAGCCTCTTTTCAGTTTTGTGTGGGTAGACTTGAGATGGTTCATGTTGTTGTGAATCTCATTTTTGAAAATATATGTGTGACGATTTAGGAGGCAGTGACCTTTGAGGATGTGGCTGTGAACTTCACTGTGGAGGAGTGGGCTTTGCTGGATCCATCCCAAAAGACGCTTTACAGAGATGTGATGTGGGAAAACTTTAGGAATGTGGCTGCTATAGGTAAGGAATAAATTTTTAACATTTATACATTCAGAGAGCATTGTTTGTTGTGTATCAGTGCAGTTTCCTTCATTGGAAAGTAGAAAGATTTTAATGCATCTTACAGGCATGGCCACAGTGTACCAAAAAATCTAACTGTAATCTATTAATCTTCATGTAAACAATAAATCATCATTACATTTGTGTTTCTTCACCTTAGAAAGAAACTGTGGTGACCAGCAACTTGAAGATGACTACAACAGTTGCAAGAGAAATCTAAGGTAATTTAATTCACATAATAAAATTTCTCAAGTGTCAGTGTATGAGAAGTATTATAAACAATCATACTGTACAGGTATGGTTATGTTCAAATTTCTTGACTCACAATATTTATCCAAAGATTTATATTGGTTGAGCATTTATAATCTGGCAGTTGAATATTTAAAACATTCCAACATCGGAAACATAGGGAGTAGCAACTTTGTCCCATAAGTGACATTATCTAATGTATCAGGATAAACATTATTTTCTATGATTAAGACTTTCAAAGTGTATGAAATTGTGTTTAGCAAGTGCATATGAAACAAATTCTGTGTTTAGATTGGGAATCACATTGAGGATAGCTAATTATATAAACTGGTGAGTATTCTCTAAAATCAATTTTATATGAAACAGATTTTGTAAGGAATGCTATATGTTTCAGAATATGGAATACACTTGCAGTATCTGCAAAATTGCTAAACCTGTGGAAGTATTCAAAGTCGAAATGAATGCTCTTGTTATGATAATACCTGTATTTATGCAATCCTACGAAGTACTTAGTCCATTCAAATTTCAAAACATTAGAGTGTACCTTCCTATTTTATACGTTTTAATGCCATGGAAATGTATGTAGAGTTTCCTTAAAAATATAAAACATAGAAATGTCATTGTATCATGCATGATTTTTCCCAGGTACATTTTCCCCCAAATTAAATAACCATGATTCAGTGATATATGCATACCCATGTTTGTGGCAGCTAGGATCTGGAAAAAGCCCAAAAGTCAATTCACAGTTGTGTGCATTAAGAAAGTGTGTCATAGGGCCAGGGATTTAGCTCAGTGGTTCTGGCACCTGTCTTGCAAGTGCAAGGACCCGAGTTCAATCCCTGAAACCAAAGAAAGAAAGAAAATATGGCATAGTCTGGGCATGATGATGCATGCTTGCAATCCTAGCACCCTGGGAAGCTGAGCCAGTAAGGTTATATGTTCATGCTCAGTCCAGGCAACTTAATGATTGATAAGATTTTCTCAAAATAAAATTAGACTGGGGGTATATCTCAGTTTTAAATCTGGATTCAATTTCTGGTGTGATATGTGTATGAAATGAAATAGTATTTGGCCATAAAGAAGAATAAAGTGATATAATTTGCCCGAAGAATAGATGCTGAATCCATAATATTAAGTAAAGTGAGCCAGATGCAGAAATTTCAGTATCAACATGAAAAACCGAAACTATGAATTGGAGAGTAAAAAAAAAAGAAAAGATAGAAGAGAAGAGAGATGCATTAGGAAGAGAGACAGTAGGAAATAGGTGAAGGATTTCAATGGAAGGAGGGTGTAGAATCAAGGAGACAGTATATAAAAATAATCAACACATAGTATATATATGAACCAGTTCCCTAAAGTGAAACTAGGTGTTATTATATTGCAAACATGTGAACTATAAATACCAAACTAAATACGACTGCTTTGGTAAAAGGGGTTTCCAAATCATCCTGGAAAGTGTATAGTATAATTATGATCTAATATTCTTAGGAGGCAGTACACCAGACCTCCTGGGCATTCATTATTATGAAGACACTTTGAAATGTGATTGGTGGTTTTTTTTCTTTTGCAGAGGTGAAAAGGTAGACAAACTGTATCAACATGAAGAAATAGTGTTTTGTTCTCCAGATGGTAATTTGTACATGAAAACAGTTGGCACAAAACCAAGTGAAAGCTTTGCCTGTAGAAAGCACCTGCTATCTCATTCACCAGAAAATATGCCCGTTAAAGCTAATCCTGCACTCAAATTGTATGAGTGTCAGAGCTGTCGAGAGAAGCTATCTAACTGTAGCAAACATAGGGACGCCTGCACTGAATTGCAATCCTTTCAGAAGCATGCTAAGATAACTCCTGGAGAGAAAACGTATGAATATAAGAAATGTGGAATATCTTTCTCTGATGGCACTGAAAGAACTAACATGGCAGAGAAGCCTTTTGAATATAAGCTTGATGTGCCAGCCTTCAGTACATCGAACTATGTTGAAATCCAAGAAAGACATCACAGTAGAGTGGACCCATATGTATGTATACAAAGTGAAAAAGGTTTTGATTTTCACCATGATGTTCAGATCCATGAAAGTGCTTACACTGGAGAAAAACACTATGTGTGTAAGTACTGTGGGAAATCCTCACTTTGTAAATTTGAAAGTGGAGAAACTGAGGAGAAGCACTATGTGTGTCAGCATTGTGGGAAAACTTTCAGCACACCATTTACTTGTCAAAATCATGAAAGAATTCACACTGGGGAAAACCCCTATGTACATAAGCAATATGGAAAAGCCTTTGGCGCACAATTTAATTGTGAAAATCATGAAAGAATTCATACTGGGAAGAAATGCTATGAATGTAAGCAGTGTGGCAAAGCTTTTGGCACAAAATTTAACTGTGAAAATCATAAAAAGATTCACACTGGTGAGAAACCCTATGTATGTGATCAATGTGGAAAAGCTTTCAGCAGACACAGTCATTTTCAAACACATGTAAGAATTCATACTGGGGAGAAACCCTATGTATGTAAGCAATGTGAGAAAGGATTTAGTACATACAGTCATTGTAAGAGACATGCAAGGACTCACACTGGTGAGAAACCCTATGTATGTAAGTATTGTGGGAAAGCTTTCAGCACACAATTTAATTGTCAAAATCATGAAAGAATTCACACTGGAGAGAAACCCTATGCCTGTAAGCAATGTGGGAAGGCATTTATTACACACAGTCATTGTAAAATACATGAAAGAACTCACACTGGGGAGAAGCCCTATCTATGTAAGCAATGTGGGAAAGCTTTTGTCACACACAGTAGTTGTCAAATACATGAAAGAATTCACACTGGGGAGAACCCCTATGTTTGTAAGCAATGTGGGAAAGCTTTTGGCACATATAGTCACTGCAAAAGACATGAAAAAACTCACACTGGTGAGAAACCCTATGTATGTGACAAATGTGGGAAAGCTTTCAGCAGACACAGTCATTTTCAAATACATGTAAGAACTCACACTGGGGAGAAACCCTATGTATGTAAGCAATGTGGGAAAGCATTTATTACACACAGTCATTGTAAAATACATGAAAGAACTCACACTGGGGAGAAACCCTATGTATGTAAGTATTGTGGGAAAGCTTTCAGTGCACAAGGTAATTGTCATAATCATGAAAAAATTCACACTGGTGAGAAGCCTTATGCATGTGATCAATGTGGGAAAGCTTTCAACAGACTCAGTCACTGTAAAATACATGAAAGAACTCACACTGGGGAGAAACCCTATGTATGTAAACAGTGTGAGAAAGGATTCATCTCCAAGGATAGTTGTAAAAGACATGAAATGACTCACACTTGGGAGAAACTCTACGATACTTATTTGGGATAACTTTCCCCACCCAAAGTAGCCATCAAAATCGAGAGTTCTGGGGATTTAGCTCAGTGGTTCTGCCACCTGCCTTGTAAGCGCAAAGACTCGAGTTCGATCCCCAGTGCAAAAAAAAAAAATCTTGAACTCATTTCTGAGAGAGTGTGTATATGTAAGTGACATGGGAAAGTGTTCAACACATAAAATTTGGGAAATGCCTGAAAAACTACACTGGGGACAAATTCTATTTACATAAGCAATATTGGAATGCGTTCTTTACACACTGATGCCATCAATTACATGAAAACAATATCGAGCAATACCCTAAGCAATGTGTAGAAGATTTCAATTATTCCAGTAAGCATCACAGATATTAAAAAAGCAAGAGGGGTCAGGGATTTAGCTTAGTGGTTTCATTGCCTGCCTCGAAAGCTCAAGGACCTGAGTTCGATCCCCAGTACCAAAAAAAAAAAAAAAAAAAAAAAAAAAAAAAAGCAAGAGGAAATTAGGTGTGAATATATTAAATGCCTTGCCCTAACATGAATGGACTCAACAGTGGAGAAAAGCCCTTTTTCTTTAAGCAATGTAAAAAAATCTTTCAGTATACAGAGGTATAATTACATATATGAAAGAGTTCATAGTTAAGCATCATCTGAACATATGTGAGTAATGTGGGAAACATTTATCTCAATATGTTCTACTACATAAAAACATTCATATGGGAGCAAAGCTATATGTATTTAATAAAATGTGAGAAACCACTCAAGTCTTCCATTTACCTTGAAATACATTAAGAAACTCACACTTAAGGAAACCCTATATGGATATGATGAGAAAGTATTTTGTGTTTCCCATCATCTCAGAAAATGTACAGAAACTCTCAACAAGAGTTAGTATAAATACTGAATGTGAGAAGCTCTCATTTTTAGATGTCCTTTCATGAAAACATGGCCCTGTACAGTGCACAAACTGGTATCAATGTATATTTTGTGGGAACATCTGTAATTATTTTGATGTTTATATTACAAATAAACACAGTACTGTGAGAAAACAATAGAAGTGTTGCACACAAGTCTTGAGTTGTCCTACATGTAAGAATGTATATTGGATCAAATCTCTGTCAATGTACAATATCAGTAATACCTCATGTTTTCAAAACCTGAAAATTTCTCAAATAGTGAAAACCTTATGTAAGTAAGTCATATAAAAATATGTTGGTTATTTCTCCAGAAAATTCACAGTCAGATGAAATATCTCAATTTTTTTTTTGAGACAGGGTCTCACTATGTAGTTGAGATTGACCTGGAACTCACTATGTAGCCCAGGCTGGTCTTGAACTCGCAGCAATCCTCCTGGCTCAGCCTCCCAAGTGCTCAGATTACAGGCTTGTGCCACCATGCCTGGCTCAAGATATCTTGAATTTAAACAGTAAACTCACTCTTAAATTACATCCTTGGATTAAATGTTTGTAAGTTCACATGGAAGAATAAATATTGTGCTCACATAATTCTTCATGTTTTTGTAAGTAATTGTATAGAAGTTTAATATTTGAGTCTATGTATTTTTGTTTTTTGTTTTTTTCCGGTACTGGGTGGAAGTTTAATATTGTATTTTAAACAAATTAAGTGATAACTTTTAAAAATTTACTTTGCACAGGGTTAGATACACATGTAAACTGAATTATATTTCTTAAATTCCAGTAGGCACAGTATTTTAAAAAACTTTTTGGTACTGGTGATCAAACTGAGGACCTTGTGCTTGCAAGGCAGGTGTGGTGCCACTGAGCTAAATCCCCAGCCCAGGCCCAATATTTTTGTAAGCTATTTCTTGTTTCCTTTATTTTTAATGCTTATGGTGTAACATGATCTTAAAACTAAATTGTTGTCGTTGTCATCTTCCCACTACCTTCTATTTAAAAGTTTGCCTCATATTGTCAATTTTTCCATTGTTGCAGCAAGAGTTTTTAATTGGATTTTATACTTTATAATTATAATGCATAGTTAAAGAAAATTCCAAATATGTTTACATAGAGATTAAATGTTTTTAAACAACTTGCAGACTAGGAAATTTCATGTTCTCTATATTCTCAGATATCTGTATATGTCCCAACATAATTATAGAATGAAGTCAAAGCTTGGATTGCGACTAACTTGTTCAGTGAATAGTCTACAAAACAATCATTTCTAATAAAATTTAATTTGAGGCTGGGGATTTAGCTCAGTGCCTGCCTCGCAAGCACAAGGACCAAAGTTTGATCCCTGGTACCAAAAATAAAGTTAAAATTTAACTTGATAAACAAGTGGTGCCTTATCATATAAGTAGTACCTGATGGCAAATGACACATGCTCTCAAGTGAGCCAAGGATTCTTCTATTTCACTTGTTGAGGGATTGTGGGTGATCATCTCCAAACCACAAGGTGTTGTGGGACAGATCTCATCTGCAGAGGAAGTGGACAGAATGGTGGAGGAATCTCTAACTTTGAGATTAAGGGGATATGTAAGATGTGGGAAACTGCAAAATATTGTAGGAAAACACTATCTAAATAAAGGTGTAGCAGTGGGTGCAATGAATCTGTTTAACAAAATGTAATGTTGCATTTCCTTGAATTTCTCAAAAGGAGGCAAGAGCAAGTGATTTGGATAGATTCTTTGTTAAATGTGCATGAAAAGAAAGAGACAAGAGTTAGCAGTATTCTTTTCATGATATTGAAAGTCATCTTATACAATAATCCTCTGCTTTGTTGTCTTACATTAGCCACAAATGTTTTCAAAGATATGCACATAATTTGTTTTACATTTTATATTTTCTTTATTATTTTATATGATATTACAGTATTGTAATAATTTCATATGAATATTTTGGGGTTGTGGAATGAATCATCTTAGTTTTTATCATTTCTTATGGAAAATTTGCCTTGATATATGAATATTTTGGATTATAAGCATATTTAGAGATGGAATTATGCTTGTAAATCTAGGTGTTACTGTATATACAATATTTAATTTTGCCTATTTTTAATATCAGGGCCATTATTATAATATGTGAAATTATAAGTGCTTTCACCATAGAAATTTTATTTTTCATGACCATATTGCCATGACTTATTTTAGTGGTAATTATCAATCATCATACAAAAAATGTACAGTGTTGCACGTTTTCCACTGCCAGTAGGACCCTCTCTTTCTCAAAAAAGATATGACGGATTATAGTAATTATTTTCTCTATGAAATATAAAAGATGATTTGATTTTTCTTTTATTTATTTATTTATTTATTTTTGTTTTTTTTGAGACAGGGTCTCACTATGTAGTTGAGACTGATCTGGAACTCACTCTGTAGCCTAGACTGGTCTCGAACTCACAGTGATCCTCCTGCCTCAGCCTCCCAAGTGCTGGGATTACAGGTGTGTGCCACAACACCCGACTAGTTTTGACTTTTCATTAAATACATTTGCAAAGGAATTTTGGACAGGGTTGAAGTTTGGGAGAATTATTTTTATTATTTGGATTGAAACAGCCTGTTGTGTTCTAGTCCCTAATGCTGTGAAAACCATTTAAGCTTTGAATTCATTATTTTATCCTAAGAATCTCAAGTTAGTTTAATAAAAAAAAAGAAATTGACTACTTTTTGAGATTCCATTGTGTTTTGTTTTACCAACTTTAGAGATAATGTTATACAGTGTCCTTGTCATCATCAATAAAAACAACTAGTGATTGAAGAAAGTGGTATACATACCTTCAACTACATAAAATTCACACAAGCTGTCAGTGTTAAGCCATCTCTGATGTCCTTGACTTATATTTGCCTACTCGCTTTCTAACACTGTGGTGTTGTACAAGATAATCTGGGTGTTTTCTTTATGAATACACTAGCTGATGAATTTCCCCACAGGATTACAATCTGACATTTCCATGCTGAGGTGAAAGTATAAGTGACAAATTCATTCAATATATCCAATATGGTTCTTGTATTGACAGCACATATGCTAAAATCTCTCCAATATGAGGAACAGCATAGCATCCACATCAGGTAGATATCATAAAATATGTATTTTAAAATGAAATGTTGTCTTATGTGATCTATGAAGTATAATACATCCAAGAGTACAGTATCAATTTTTACACCTTTGAACACGTGGCTAATTTATGGCAGCTCATTTCAAATTCTTTCCATCGTCAGAAATTTGCACAGTGCTTGTTGGTAATTCTAACCACATATGCATTACTGCAATTAATTAGAAGATATTTTATCCTGAATACTTTTATTTTCTATCACAATTATTGGTATTGTAATTTATCATTGTGCCTGTTCTTTCAAAAATTTCCTTTGTTCTAACAATAAGTCAAGCACAGAGAGCCCTATTATCCACCAAATCCACAAACTTCATAATGACCAATTATCCCCAGATGATGAATACATGTTTGCATGTTAAAGACAGGAAATTCAGAAACAATTCATTTGAGTACGCAGATTAGAAAGACAATGAGATCACTGATGCCAAAAGTTTAATGGAATGAATATAACAGACAGGGTGAACAGATTATGGCTGTAAATGCCCAGATCAGAAAAATGGTCCACATAAATTACCCAGTGATGCCCCTAATGTCCTAGAAAAACAAGAACAATCCAAAGCTAAATCAAGTAGAAAGAATGAAATTATAACTAGAAATTAATAACATTGAGACTAATAAAATAAAAAAATCACAAGATCAATAGATGCAGAAAGGCTTCAATAAAATCCATTGATCATTGATGATAAAAATCTCTGAGGAAAAAAGCTATAGATAGACTTTACATCAATCATGTAAAAGCCATTTGCAAAACTCCTGTTAATATAATAATTGGGAAAAAACTGAAAGGTTTCCCTCAACATTAGGAAGAAAAGAAGGATGTACATTATAATTTCTTCTTAATATACTTCTTAAAAATAGAGCAAGAGCAATCAGGAAAGAGAAAGCACTAAAAGTGATACAGATAGAAAATGGAAAAGGTGAAGTATTATTTGTAGATGAAATAATTACATTGAAGATTCCCCTAAATCCACTGAACAATGTCTAAAATTAATAACCAAATTGAGTAGTATTGCATAACAATAGAATTTAATAGAATGCTTGTAAACAAACAGTGAACTGTAACATTAGAAAAACAACACTATTTAAAATAGTAGGAAGAAAAATTAGTGCTTAGGAATTACACTAAACAAGGGAGAACCTCTAGTGTGAAGTCTACAGTACTTTGAAAAAGGACATTGAATGTGATATCAGAAATGAAATATATCCAGTAATCCTAAATTGGTAGAACAACATTGTCAAAATGGACATTGTTCCTAAATGAACATACACAGAAGTAATGGCAGAAAACTTGCCAACCATGGAAAAGGAATTTGATATACAAATAACTGAGGCATATACAACTCCAAAAGCCACAACCATAATAAATCTCCATCAAGGCATAGAATAAATAATCAAGATTTCAGAAATTCAGCACAAAAGCAGAATATTGAAAGCTGTTAGAGAAGCTTTCCTATAAAGGAAAGCCCATCATAGTCACAGCAGACTTCTCAACACAAGCGCTTAAGGAGAGGTTGAAGTATTAAATCAAAGAGTATCTCCATAGCTTTTAAAATGTTAAAGGATAAACAAGGAAACTTCTATTCTCAAATTTTTCCCTACTTTGAATCTTCAAGACCTAAATTAGACTTGATTTAAGCTAGGTCAAAAGGAGCAACAATGAAATTGGGTATGAGATTCATGCTTTAATTTTCGATATAAATTGACTTTAGAGCACATAAATGAACTTTAATCTTACCACTTGTTATGGCTTGTATCTAGAAGTACCCCCAAAGTCTCATGCGCTTGTAGGTGGAGCTTTTCAGAAGTGGCTGGATCTAGGGTGTGTGACACTGGGATTAAGGATATGATGCTGAGATGATTAAGGGTGCCCCACCCTGGTTTGTGAATGTGACCCACCTTAAGGGTGGGTATCCTAGATGGAATATAAAGAACAGAAAGAGGGCTGCTGCCATTACTTGCTGCTGTTTCTGCTTCTGGTGGATGAAGAGTGACACATGTTCTGGGTCAGGTCCTCAAAAACTTATGTGTCCCATGGGAATAGTGCATCCCTATCATCCTTGCTGTTTAGGAAACTGAAAACTAAGATCAAAAGTTCAAGGCTAGCCTGGGAATTTTATCAAAATCCTGTCTTGCTGGGCATGGTGGCACACATCTGTAATTCTAGCACTTGGGAGGCTGAGGCAGGAGGATCACTGTGAGTTTGAGACCAGCCTGGTCTACATAATGAGTTCCTGGTCAGTCTCAACTACATAGTTGAGACCTTGTTGCAAAAAAAAATCCTGTCTAAAAAATTTAAAATATGGAGGGCCAGATATAGCACAATACTCCTAGTTTCAATGCCGAGTACCAAAAAAATAAAGCTATTGTGTTCAAGACCAATTTGCTTTATGACATTGTCTCAGTATTAAGCCTTCATATCTGCTCTCTGGTTTTCCCCAGCCCCCAGCTGCAGAAGGTGAACTCAGAGTCAGAGAAAGAAGCACATCCTAAAAAATGCTGTCACCAAGGTATCAAAAAGATCTGAAGATTTAAAAAATTTTTTTTAAATTTCGCATTTTACCACTTGGGAAGTGCATTGCAAATATATTGGCCAGCAAGGAAAATGCCTGTTTTATGTGGGACTATGTTTACAAAATTTACAAATTTTTTCCATAAAGTTTATTGTCCAACTTGGGACACATTTAAATGTGAAAGATGGTGCTATCTGCAATTGCAGAAGGATGGCAGGCAGGATAACTGCGGATCTCAGGAGTGTCCACAACAGATCGTGAAGAGCACTTTCCGTAAAGACCTGTCTGGGGTGTTTGGGATGGCACCTTCCCTGTCCTTCACCCACCATCTAACTCTTGTGAATGTGAGTGCTGTTTTTTCCCTCCTAGGTTATAAACGCCTCAAAACCAGGACTGTGGTCAGCACTCACCTTAGACTCAAGCATAACATCATATATGGTTCTCTGCATACTACAAACAACCAACAAATGTAGGATTACTTCATAAGGGCAGGTAACTCAGATGTGGATTGCAGGGAGGGCCCAAGGGGGCTGCCACATGTAAAGACCCATGAGGACCTTAAGGGTCACAAAGGAAGTGGTAAAATGTAACGGTAGGAGGCTCAGGGTAAAGTCTTCCCAAATTCTTGTCTCCCTGTCCTCTGGCTGGCTCTGTAGACCTCCTCTTACCAAATTTCTTACTCTGTCCCCACTGGCCCCAGTCTTGGTCATGTCCCAAAGCTCCCTCGTGAGCTCTCTTTAATTATAAGCTCGGGAGCTCCTGTCCCACACCTGGAGTGTGTGGGCTCCCCAGGAAGCTGCAAACCTTATCTTCCTCCCTCGGTGTCCGTGCTGAGTATCTGCATGGACACCGAGGAGCTCTGCACATGGGTGAGAGAAGGGTGCACTATGAAAGGTGAGCAGGCAGAGTGGGTGCCCAGATGTTGGCGATGACCCCTTTATCCCCACCATCTCCCTGCCTATGTCTCCTTTTGCCTTGCCATCCTCTTCTAAATTGGCATATAATAATTGTAGTTGTGAATGGGTATATTGTGAGATTATAATATGTGTATATCATATATAATGACCAGATCAAAATAATTGACATACCTATCACCTGAAACATTCATGATTTTTTTTTTCACATTCTCCTTTCCATGAAAAGAGGCTATTGTCTACTGGGGGAGGCTGTTGTGAGAGTTTCCAGGGAAACCAAGGGTGACATGGACCTGTAAAACCTGGTGAAGGGATTGGTGGAGGCTACAGAATGAGATCTTATCTGGAGGGACCAGCCGTTTCCTGTCCCTTTTCACTTAGTAAATGAAAACTCGGAAAAAGGACAATGGAGTTACTTCGATGCTAGAAACTCCTCCACAGGATATCACTGCTGAATTTGACTTCCTGCAAGAGCCGCATCAAAAGGTGAATGTCATTTTCCTGTTGCTCCTCCTCTTTTCTCTCTTCCTTGCAGTTCTTAGTACTGGTTGCTGATTTATTTCCCCTTTTCTGTTTATGTACCAGCATAGTCTCTGTCTTTAATCTGCACTACTATGAGGTTAAAGTAGAATAATGAATGTGAGGGCTGTAGGGCACGGAAGGTAAAATGCCAGTTTACCGATTATGTTTTGTTCATTACTAGAACAAAGCAAGGATCCCTTCCTCTTCGCAGACTGATGAACTCAAAGTAGTTGATTTCTAGTTTTCTAGGCTCCCTGAAAATCCCTATGGCGTGTTATGAGATTACTTGTTAAAATTCCTCAGAACCCACTGTGCTCCAGTCATTAGGATTTGAGATTGGAAACATGTGACAGGTCAAGCAGCCCTCACTGAGCTCCCATCCCCTTGTGTGTAGACAGCAGAAGTAATGCAATGTTACTTACAACATTAGGTGATAAGAGACTTCCCCTTCTGCCGAGGATGCTTTGGCTTCCCCTCAGCTGTGGATCACTTGCCCTGGGAGAAGTCAGTTTCCATGCTCGGAAGAGGGTCACAGCCTTCCATTGCCACATGTGTGATCTTCAAGGGGAGTCTCTTCCTGACATGCTTCTGAAGGACTGGCCATGGACAACAGCTGGGCAGTGACCCCATGGGAGGCCTTAAATCAGAGGTTTCAGCTCAGCTGCCTGGGGATTCCTGACCTGCAGAAATTGAGAGGTAATAAGTATTATCGTATTTTAAACTGCTAACTTTTAGAACAATTACTTAGCATAATAACATGTAACCAAACAAACTTATAGGAAAAATACTACATTATTGTGCTACTTGCAGAAGCAGAAACATGCCTGTTTCAACTGTATTTTCTTTTTTTGTGCTAGGAATCAAACTCAGGACTTTGTGCTTGCAAGGCAGGTGGCAGCACCCCTGAGCTAAAACCCCAACCTGAGACATGCCTGATACTACAGACCCGGAAAGATAAAGAAACAAGGGAAACTGGATGGGTGAGGAAATAGAACAAGAAAAGGCCTGTAAAAAACTTGGAAATATGAGTCAAAACCTTTCCTCTCTCTATTTATTTTTAGAATTTTCGTTATTGTATTTTATTCTTATTAGTATATGTTTGTGATACACGGTAATTGCATTCATATATAAAGCATCCAAATCCTCTTTACTTTTACTTCCTCTTCCTCCCGTTCATCTCCTGCCATCCCCAGATCACATTCTAATCTCCACAAAGTCTATATCCCTTTTTCATGTCATCTATGCTGTATTTTTCTTCTTTAAATTATTTCTATTTTGAGTTTCTCTTAAAAGAAACCATGTGGTATTGAACCTTCTGTGTCTGATTTATCCCACTTAGCCTTATACTCTCAATGTGCATCCATTTTCCTACGAATGACTCAAATTTTCCTCTTTATGGCAGAGTAATGCTCTTGAAATGCCTGTGAGCGGAATGACAAGATTCAGCCAGGTGACTGTGTAAGGCCAATGATAAAAAAGTTGTGGTCAGAGTATGGTGATGCTTTCCATCCAGTATAAATATTTATTCTTGTATTTCTCTTGAGTTCTGATATTTTGACTATGATCAAGGGAGCTTGGCACTTAAAAATATGCATATTTATATTTTGATTTGGCTTTGCTTGTGTAAAATTATATTTTATCTTTGACTTCCACAAAAACGTGTTTAGAACAAATTCTTGAAGAAACATTAAGAGAAATCTCTCTTCATTGACAAGACTCAAATAAATCATAGCAATTAGGGAGACTTAGGAAGATCACTTGAGCTTAGGAGGATCACTTGAGCTAATGAATTCAGTGCCAGCCTAGACAATACTGTACAGGGAGACCCTGTCCTCTAAAAAGCTAGAAAATATCAGTTAGAAGAATTTTAAAAAGATTCTTTTTAACTTATATTAAACATAGCAGGCATTACTTACACTGGTTTGAAAGCCACATTTACTGTGGTCCTGATTGTGAGATGAAAAGGATAAATGAGTCATTCATAGAAAAATGGATGCATCTTGAGACCATAATGTTAGGTGAAATCATTCAGACACACAGCTTAAATATTGCATGGTTTCACTTATGTAAGAAACCCAAATAATAAATAAAGAGCAAAATAAAAGATAGATAAAAGGAAATAGGGACACAGATCATTCTCAAATGGGAAGGGTATCAAGAAATGGAAGGAGTAGGGAAGGAATTAAGTTGTGTTATGCCCGCGTACCAACTGCACACAAGGAATATGTACTACATTATGTACTGCAAACAAGTGTGAATAAAAATAAACAAAGTCTCAGTGTAACTGAGTACTTCATTATTTTAGAAGGCTGGAGTCCCAAATCACTGTTCATTTCCATCAGCTCTGTGAATTTTCTCTTACCCTAATATGATGCACAATGACAGCATCTAGTTATATCAAGTCTTTTCTCATGTGGGGCACTAAAAGAATGTTTCCTTTATCCACATTATAACAGAGGAGCTGTTACACCATGATAAATTCTCAGAATCTAAATATATACAGACTAACAAGTAACTCATGAATCATTCCTTTTCTTTTTGGAACATATATAAATTATCTCTTGGGAATGAAATCATTAAAACCCTGTTACAGATAATTTACCAAATCCTTACTATCCCAGGTAAAAGATAGTATTATTGAGTATGGTATCATATACTTGTCTTCCCAGCACTCAGGCTGAGGCAGGAAAATGGAAAGTTCAAGCCCAGCCTAGACAATTTAGTGACTTTGTAAGACCCTGCTTCAAAAATAACAAGTAAAGAAAGAAATAAGGCTAGGAATGTAGCTCAGTATAAACACCCTGGGTTCAATTAAAAAGAAAACATATTGGGGCTGGGGATTAAGCTCAGTGATTCCACCACCCACCTCCCAAGCACAAGGACCAGAATTTGATCCCTAGTATCAAAAAAAAAAAAAAAAAAAAAAAAAAAAAGAAAAATAAAAAAAAAAAAAAAAAAAAAAAAAAAAAAAAAAGAAGAAGAAGAAAACATATTAAAGCCAAGACTTTGCTGAATGGGATTGTTAAAAGTTCCCACAACACATAA